AATATTTGGTAACCCTCAAAAATTTTTAAGTCTCGTCCTAAAAGTGTTATTTTTAATTATACAAGTTAAGCATCACAATTGTTTTATTTATTATACTAAATACAAGTCTTCCACAGTAACTTTCTCCTTAGTATATTCAGATGTCTTTTGTAAAATTGATTTGAAGGCGGTTTTCTTCATTAGTACTGAGATGACTAAAACGTTTTCCGAAAGTTACATGTACCACTACTTGAACTCACATTAGACTATATTGTGTTGAATTACTGCTTACTAGACACTGCCTGTTTTACCTATGCTACCTTGCCTAGTAGTGAAATCTGTTATTCTTATTTTGTTTAAATTAAAACCTAAATTTTGCAACTTTCTTCTTGATTAAAACTTTTTTCTCTACACATGAAACACGTGAACATGCACTAGAATAAAGAAAAAAGATCATTACTTAAAAAAAAAAACCAAGGATATTCAAGCAGAGAAATTAAAAAAAATTCCCAGAACTGCAGTGGATTATACTGTTAGGAGACATCAGGAAACGGGACAAAACAAGACCAAAAGTAGGTTTGGTAAACCAAAAGCAACACCAAGAGCGGAGGATAATTTCATCAATCACCAACAGAAAGCTGACTACTCCAAACATCCCTACACAACTGAACCAATGTGAAAAAATGTGCCAGCATCCACTGTGAGTAGAAGACTCTTTGAAGCTGGCCGATATGGCAGAATTGCTGTCAAGAAACAACTATTGAGGAATCAAAACGTGAAAAGGCTCCAGTGGGCCAAGGCACCCAAAGACTGGACAATAGAGCATTGGAATAAAGTCCTTTGAACTAACCAATCAAAGTTGGAAATCTTTGAGTCAAATAGGAGGGTCTATGTGCGGCGAAGAGTTGGTGAAAGAGTTGCACCCCCCTGTATCACACCAACCGTAAAGCATGGATGAGGCTCTGTTATGGTGTGTATGTGTATGTGTGTGTGTGTGTGTGTGTCGGGGGGGGGGGGCTTTTGCTAATTGCAAAGTCAGGGATTTGCATCAAGTGAAGGGCAAAGTGAATCAGACCGGATGCTACAGCATAATGCAGCGTCGCGCGATCCCCATCTGCTTTTTTGGTCAAGGATTTGTACTTATGCAAGATAATGACCCAAGCATACTAGCAAAAAGGAACAGCACTTCCTTCAACTAATGTCTTGCCCGGTACAATCAGCTTAAATCCTATTGAACTAGTGTGGGATGAACTTGACAGAAAAGACAACCCATAAGTGTGGCACACTTCCGGAAACTCATCAGTCTACCTCCAGTCTTTAGTGGAAAGAATACTCAAAATCTGTGAAGCAATGATCGCAGCCAAAGGGGGTCATTTTGATGAATCAAAAGTTTAAGAAGATTTTTGTGATTTTTTAAAATTTAATTTGTGTTTAATGTGGTTCAGAGAGACTTGTATTTAGTATAATAACTAAAACCATTGGGGTGCTTAACTTGTTTCATTAAGAATAACACTTTTAGAATGATAAATAAAAAATTTGAGGGTTATATATATATATATATATATATATATATATATATATATATATATATATATATATATATATATAGTAATAATAATCTTATAAGAAATTATAGTCGTACGGAAAACCTTTCAGTGTCTTGATTTGCAAATAATCAAACCAACACCAAAGGAAAAAGAGGTATACAAAAAAGAAAGAGCCAAGAACATGTACGTTAGCCAGCCTTCCCTGACGATTCGCTTAGGTGAAACCTTGGTAGGTTTGTCTGGCTCTCTAGGTTTAACCACACACACACACACACACACACACACACACACACATATATATATATATATATATATGTCATTTGCAGACAGTAGTTTCGCTGTATCGCAGCTCTTCAGTGCGACTAGACGCCCGAATGCCTGAAGCCAGGACCGAAACCCGACCGATTTGGTGTCAGAGTTTCTACCACTAAGCTATCTTCACTCGGCAGTGAGAAACATGGTAAATATATAAGACACTTTTGAAAAAATTGACACGTTTCCCAGCTAGACTGGTTTCGTCAGAAAATAATATTATTTTACAAGTACAGACTCTCTCTCTCTCTCTCTCTCTCTCTCTCTCTCTCTATATATATATATATATATATATATATATATATATATATATTTATATATATATATATAATGTAATTCTGTTTAAACTCAGTGGATGAAAAAACCTAGATAGCGCAATCTTCAAACAAATTGGCATCCGAGGAAAAATGGAAAAAAAAAAAGAAAAACACCAGAAACCTCAGAACAGGGCGAAAGAAATTGTCCAGTATCTTAAATCATTGGCACAAAGAAGAAAAACAAGAAATATTAAGTTAAAACAAATAATGATCAATACACTAAGTAGAGCAAAAGTAAAATAAATAAATCCTAATGAATCAGCAACTACCTAACTAGGTTTCACCATATTGGATCATCAATTCTCCTTGATGATTCCATCTGGTGAAACCTAGGTTCTGGTTCATTAGGATTTATTACACCAATTCTGTCGGGTTTCGATCCTAGTTAGAGGCAACCGTCTAACCACACTGATACAGCGAAACAGTCTGTGGATAATATATATATATATATATATATATATATATATATATATATATATATATATATATATTTGTGTGTGTGGAATGTCTGATGCAGGAAAATTGCTGGGAAGAATATATATATTATATAAGGCGAAAGTGACACCTATGAAGAACCTAGATGAGGAGAAGATTTACATCGGAGCAACTGGGAGAGAAGGTAGGCGAACCATCTGCTATCCTTTATGTATGAAAATAACGTGGCGTTTTAAAAACATATATGGGAACAAAAATGAAAAGGAAAAAAAAACATCATTAGTAGAATGGTGTATATAAAAAAGATGAAGAAAACCAGAGGAAAGAACTGCAATCTGTGTATGGAGGAAAAACTGAAGATCATAGAATTCAAAGAGGGAAACTTTAAATTCAAAATCAACCTGAATAGGTATGGGATTTGTCAAGTTATTTTGCCCTGGACACGCCACTACTGTTATAGCTGCAGTACATGTGGTGCTCATACAGTTCTAACGATTTACGTGGGTAACGTGACTTGTCACATCACGTTACATAAGTAGATGTATGAAAATATCAGTTATAAAATAACATTTGTAGATAAAAATGCTAATAAAATATTATTTAGTGCTATAGCATTGGAATAGAGTTTAAGTTGCCCAGACTTCAATGATGCGATTCAATAAAAGCAATTGGCCAGTCGGAAAAAAAAATCTTGTATTTATGTTACGGAGATATTATTTTTCGTAAAGGGTCAGTTTTATCTTTCAAATCACAATTTAATGAAGGGCTGGAAGAAGCAATAGGAAAGCAAAAATCAGATTAGAACTGATAAAAAAACAACTCATCTTCATTAGCAAAGGAGGAAGTAATGCAATTAAGAAGGAAAAAAGATGAGGTAATAAGCGATCTTAATTACCAGAGGAAATATTGATTCTTCTAGGCGGAAAAAAGATTCAAAATAAATAAAGAAATGATAACAGGAAAAAAAATCAACAATAAATAAAAAATAAGTAAGAGAAATAAGTTTTAAAAAAAGTAGAAAACAAAATCTATCAAAAAGAAACAATAAATCAGGAAAAAAAAAATAAAAAAAATTTTTTGCCTGATTTCCGATGTGCTGATTGATTTAAATATCAAATTTCACTTGCGGGTTCAAGATTTATGAGTTCGTTTTGAACTGTTTTACTCCTTGTTAACACTGAATGAACAACCCCGATTGGGCAATTATATCAATTTGGTCATAACATGAACGGATTCAGACGTAAAAAAAAATTGAATAAAAATATCAGAAACAAGCGATAAAAATACAGAAAAAAAAACTAGAAAAAAAAAAGAAAAGAAAAATATACATAAAAATGCAAAAGCCTAAAAAGAAAGAAAGTAAAAAGCAAAAGTCACGCCACCAATACAACAACGCTGACAAGATACAACGGAAATAACGACAAGAGACATTGATTTAAAGCCAGACATAAGGAAAACCGATAGGAAACAAATCCAAAGGGAAAAAAAATAACGCGCGAACAGTAAAAAAAACAAAACAAAACAAAAAAAACAAACAAAAAAGCGAACGTATACAATACAAAAACTGAATGAAAAATAGGAACGAAAAGAAAATAAGAAAACGAGGAAGCTATAAATCAAGATTCAATTTATTATCTTACTGTTGGCACCAGAGAAGTGAAGAGAAAGGAAGTTGGAAGAAAAGGTATTAAAGAAGAAATATAGTGTTAAAAGTGAACGCGTCAAGACCGTTCCCTATAGAAGTGTCATAATTAGAAACCACAAATCGATAAGAGACAAAAAGAATATATATATAAAAAAAAAAGCGAGTCGTGCAGTTGGGTTGATGTTATTATCAGGAGAATTAAAATGACAGTGTACGGAGTTGGGTAATAAGTGTGGAGTACAAAGAGCGGGAAAGGTAACATATCCGATGGAATTATAATTTGACGTTTGAGAGGACCCCAGTCTCAACTCTTTAGCGGAAATGTTTCACGGAAGTGTCACCATCGTTAGAAATAAATATAAAAGAGATTTTTTTTTGCTTTTTATTTATTGTAAACCATTTATTTCTTTTTATTCTTTATACTTTCTGACATTTTAAGGCTTTTATTTGTGTATATTTCGTTTTTGTTTGTCAATTTTTGTTTCGTCATTTTTCCTTTATTTTTCTGCATTTCATTTACAGTTTTCTTTTTGCGTCCTTTCTTTCAAACATTTTTCATTCAGTTTCTTTTTCTTCCTGATTTTGCATTGACTTATACAGTTCTTTTTTTCCTTAGTTTATTATTTTTATCCAGTTTCTTTTAATCAACGTCTTTCCTCTTCTCCCTTCTTTTTTTCTTTTTAATTTTTTCGATCAGATTCTTTTTCTTCCGATTCTCGCATTGACTTTTTTTTAGTTTATTCTTTCATTTAGTCTTTTCTAAAT